AGGCGCGTAGACCCGGGTCGACGTTCGGCGACGACCCCGTAGGCGAGCGGCGAGGAGCCGAAAGGGGAAAGCGAGGGAGAGAGGGATAAACGTATCAGAAAACTCGACGGGCAGAGCGGCGGTCGGCACGAAGGCACGAGACCGACGAAAGCTAGCCTTCACGCAAGCAGCGACAGACTAGTCCCAATGACCAAGTTATACATTAGCAATCGGAGAGAGATACAACGCTATGGTCACTCACCTAGTCCCAATGACCAAGAGGTCGAGATGGGGACTAGGGAGCGCCTAGGGGGTCCTTATATACTAGAGGGGCTGCTTAGCAACCAAGGACAAGGCGCGAGAGCGAGGCAGTGAAGATGACAAAGGGGGAACAAAGGGCGAGAAAGAAAAGGCAAGGGCATGGCGATCACGGGAACGTAGCATGCGGCTGTGGGAACGTATCTACAGTGTCCAAACTGGGATGAGCTAGGAAAGGAAACGGTCCGGAAATGGAAGGTGGGCGTCAAAGGAAAGGGAATGGGCGGCAAAAAGGGGCGTCTGTCCAACGTCCGTGACAAGGATGGTCCATCTCGTGTGGAAGACTATGGTCTTCAAGTTGCTGCCCATTCACGGCGACCGTGACGCTGAGAAATCCAGAGTCTCCTTTCCCCCATCGACAATGACAATGTCGGATCACTATGCGGACATCCTTGCCCCTGGACCTGCTAGTTGGTGCTAGGCGGATATCGACATTGTTCTGCGACTCGTGATATTCTATCCGCCAACGATAACGCTCCTCCAGGAGCCGACAACACCTCTCTGGAAGACGAACACGAAATCTGCGTTCAGGAGGCGCACACAAAGCGGTGTGAAGCGTGGCCTGAAGATGCCGATGGTCTGCCCCTGACACAGTAGCACGATCTGGGAAGTAGACGTCTGTCATGGTGAAGTCCGTCTGGATATGGGGATCGTCTGATGGAATGTAGAAGAACCGGCCATACTGCTGGTAACGGGTAAGACCTGACACTCCCTGGGGACTAGCTCCGTATTGTAGGAGCCCAATGTCATAGCGCGTGTGCTCATCACTGATGTCGGCATCAGGGGATTGACAATGCAAAGGAAGAGCGAGGAACTGTACTTTGCCATCCGGGCCATTAACGTAACAGCCTAGAAGGGCTATACGCGTGGGGAAGTGATGACAGGAGGTGGGGACGGGGAGGCTGAGGAGTAGTTTTGCATGAACGCCGTCGGCAGTTCTCCTGATGACAAAAATTTGATCCGTTGCCCTCCCCCGGTCTATCCCTGCTGCATCCAAGAAAGGCTGCGCTCTGTGGAAGGAGATGAAGCGGGGGGACATGCAGAAGTCCGCGGGACAGCCTGGGAGCAGGTGGGTCTGCAATGGCGCAACGTCTTGGAGGGAGTGAGGGTCGTCGTGACAAGCAGGCGGTGTAAACGGGTATTGTGCCTGGCACGGATGGCCCCATAACAGAACAGTGTGGTCTGGGATTCTTTGTAGAACCTGAGACAGAAGGAGTTGAAAGGCCTCTTCTACAGTTATGCCATAGCGCACATTGAGCGAGACGCCAAGAAGTCCTGCCAGGGAGTAGGAGGCGTCTTCAGGCTTAGTAGCCCGCCGCAAGGCTCCCCACGATATTTTCTGCGCGACCGAAATGTTGGCTAGTGATCGGGGATCTTCCAGGACTGAGGGCGGGATGCCAGTAGCACACTCAACGAGGGCTGCGAGCTCCCCACTATTACTCAGCGTCGCTTTATCCATGATCGGCCGCCAATTGCGGCTGTAAAAGATGACAGAATCCGGGCCCAAGAGCTCTTGGAGAGTCCAACAGCGAGTAAACCACCCGCTATCGCAGAATTGGGTCGCCCACTGGGCAGTCAGGTGACCAGGGTAGTCGTCCACATCGTGCAGAAAGACAACGCAGAGCGTGGCATTACGATACCACGTGAACATGGAGTTGACAGCGGGTTGAACCTCCGCCAGATCGTCTTGGTTGATACAGCAAGAGTCGGCCCAAGCTAACTCAATGCCATTACCCTTGACAACGTCACAAAAGCGCTGGATTTTTGAACTAAGACGACGACCTCGGTTCTTCAGCACGTCCTGGTAGGAACATTCGGGATAACCCGAGTCACCCGGCTTGCTCCAGACATGGGACAAACAGGCATAGGGGATACCGTCTGCTTTCAGCTGATCGACGGTGTATCGTGTTTCCGAAAACGTGCCTGTCGGCGCATGGAGAAAACGCATCTGGGCCTAGTGCATATATAGTCAGTATCGGGCCCATAGGGCAGAAACTAGTGTAACTCGCCATGGTGCCAGTGCACACCGCTGTTGATTTGTAGACCGAGACCAGATGGGGACAATGTGCTGCGGCGAGTTCCTGTAGTAGTGCGCAAGGTGAACTGTAACATCGAGGTGTAAGACTATCATAGATTCATACCTGCTTGGCCGTCTGTGGTATTGTGAGCAGAGTCGCATTCGCAGTGTAAGACTGGACCTATGCACAGCAGCAGAAGTCAGGATCGAGGTTGTATTACTAGCTGCTAAGAAGATTCTGCAGTTGGCTGGACGGGCTCGACTTCCTTTCCCACGGCGAGGCTCTGCGGGCGCACGTCTATTATTCCGATGCTTAAGCTTGAAGAACTGCCGCCCGCCTCCTGTCGCTCCCTTCATTTGGGCTAGACGGAGCCCACACCTCATTACATATTATGGATTGCCTAAGTAACAGCTCCTTCTCCGCGGGCTCCCCGTGCTCGGTTATTGGTTGAGACCGCCAGCGTCGCGCCGCCCATCCTTCTATGTATATGCCCCCCGAGCCGCAGCACCCATATGTTAGAAGTCTGTAGTCTAGGTATTAGATGCCCCACTCGAAGGGATGCTGGAACGAGTGAGGGACGTTGAATATGTGACGAACTATAGTGGTGTACGTACGGAAGTTCCCGGCCTACAGCGCCTAATGTGAAGATCGTAAAGTCTAACATCATCGTGTGCCCCGCTTCCGTCCCACGCATTCTTCGTGGCCCTATCACCCATATCGCTGACCGTGCAGCAGCATACAACCACCCATCCCCCCGTGGCTGTTTTGCCTTCGCGCTGCGTGACACCCCTGTGCGACAGCATGCCTCCCAAAGGTGAGTTACCGCTTTCACGATGCGCCAGGGAGAGCGTGTGTAAACCCCCTGTTTCCCGTCCCCCTGTCGCGTCGCTCTTGGTCTGCCGCTGGCAGGGTCCTGATTGTTTTGCGCCACAGGCCCCATCGTGCTCAGCTTCTCTCCGTTCCGTCAGGTAAGCGTGCCCTTCATCCATGTAGCAATGTTCATTGGTGTGTACCCCCCCAACAGACGCGGAGCGGGGCTTCCTTTTCCCCGTGGGCTACGGTGGCCCCATTCGGGACACCGATTGAGGCACCGTCGGACTTCGACCTTTGTGCGCGCATCGAGGCCGCACTTGTTGAGCAAAAGCGCGAGGCTGATTGGCATGAGGAGGATGACCTTCCACTGACACAGGCCCTCGAGACTGATGGGGGGCTGGTGACGCCGGGCAATGTGCCTCCAATTGCCATCCCGCCCCTCCCGGAGTTTCCAGACCCAATCGCATCGGACAACGTCGGCATCAGCAAGGGGCAGTACCATGCGCGCAGCCATAACAAACGCCGCCGTCAGGCCAAAACCCATAGCCAGCGCGAGGCAAACGGTGGGAAAAGACCCCTTAGAGACTCGGCCGTCAGACACCGGGATGCTGCCGTCGCGTTGGAGACGCCCATGGACACCGACCGGATGCTTTCCCAAGACTCCGAGCGCGCCTCGCGCACCCTTGCCGAGGCCGAAGAGCCCATCGAAACTGATCTGTCGTTGGCCATGGAGGACGTTCCGGTGACCAGGAATGCCTTCACAGCCCAGCGGTACCCGCAAACTGACGAAGACCGTCTGCCGGTCGATATTCAACGCCTTATCGTTTTGCAGGGTTTCCGCCTGATTGAAGCCCAGGAAGAGTCTGTTTGCCCTCGTCCTCCCAGGCATTCAGCCCGCTAATGCCCCTGTTCGTACAGCAAATGCCGCCCCATCATCGACCGGGACCGCACTCTCATTGGCGTCGTTTGCGGGGCGCCGCGGGATGTCGCGCCCTCCCCTGGCCAGGGGGGCAGCGTCCCATGGTCCGAGGTACATCGCCGAGGGGCTGTGCTCGCAGAATACCTTCGCGAGAATCTACGGCTCTCGAACTCACACTTACGCCATCGACGCGGCAACTATTCGGCGGTGGCGAGTGGTATCTCGTTCGGGGGCGGTCAGCAGGTAGGCGACCCCGTCCCTGTGTATTGTGAACCCTACCCACCCCTCCTTCTAGCGCGTGGGCAATCTGGCACACACCCCTCATAACGCGGCGATCCTTGATGCCGTCAAAAACTCTACCGTCATGCGTCGCATTGCCAATTTCGCCAGCAGTAAGAGTCGCGCATCCTTCCCCTATTCCTGCCATCTGATCACCCGATTCCGTAGATTCCTTCCGTTTGTTTTTCCCTCGGCTTCACGACTTTTACGAGGGCACCCTCGATGGGCTGTGCTCGCGCGATCCGTCCCTTCGTCGCAACTTCAAGGACAATGCATTTGCATGTGCGACGTGGAATCTGGGGCCGCAGGCCATCTCACACGTACATACCGACCACCTAAATCTCGCCTGGGGTATGTGTGCCATCACTGCTTTGGGCGAGTTCAACCCGAAACGGGGCGGGCACTTGATCCTTTGGGACCTCCGTCTCATCATTGAGTTCCCCCCCGGTACCACGATCCTCATACCATCGGCCATCCTGCGCCATTCCAACGCCCCACTCGCAAGCCCCGAAGAGACCCGCCACGCATTCATCCAATATTCTGCAGGGGGGCTCTTTCGCTGGTCTGAGTGCGGCCATCAGACCCAGAAAGCCTTCCACAGCGGTGGCGGCGTCTACTCACAGACGGGTCGCCAACGATGGGTTCGTGGCGTCGGCATGCTGGGCCGCTGGGATGAGCTGAGGTCCTCCAGAGTAGTTACTACCCAATAGCCTATTGCGCCAACTGGCTTGTGCCACGCGTGCAACAGGTCAGGATCAATGGCTGCCACTCCTCTAACTGTACCCTCTGCCGCCCTCCATCTCAATGCAATCGCGGGTTCCGCGCCCCCCTCGGGCTTGCGCCTCACGCGCTTCAGGACGGGCTGTCCCAACGCAGGGTGCCCTTTGTCTGCTAAGGCTAGCGCTCCTCCCTCTCGTTTGGCAGCCTCCTCCAGCCTAACACGCGGCCTGACGTACGGTGGCTCAAGCGGCGACGAACGTGAGCGGCTGCACTCCGCAGCTTGTCACCCCAATCCCTTTTGCAGCCGCGTTTTGGGCTCGTTTGGGCCATGCGCGGGATGATGATGGCCGCGATCTCCAGACCCAACAGCGGCATGCCCTCGACGCCTGGCACGTGAGGTAGTATTAGGGCGTGGGTTGCAGCACCGATGGGCATCTGTTTGCGGGCGGTAATGCGCTGCCGGTCGGAGACGTCGTCTTGCCAAACGTCGATGTGGCCGCCATCCTACTGAAATCGATGGCTGCTTTGCCAATGGACGCCGCGCAGCTTGTGCCATAAAACTACCCAGGGCTGGCCCCCCTTATACCTCGCCCGAGGATGCTCCTCTTCCCCGCCCTCGTTGCCGCCAGCGACCCGCGGCCCGCACTCCCGCACCGACAGGTCTGGGCGACGTGGAGCTCGGTCCCAAGGTTAAGCCGACGGCCGATGAAGTCTTTGCGGGCTAGGGTGATGCGCGTGTTGAAGTTTATCGGCGTGGCCTATCGCGTTGATCCCCACATCATGCGCAACAGGGGCGTCGTCCGGCCGCAGGGCAGCCTCCGCCAGCGTTGATTTTCGCGCCCATATGAGGCTCGTACTCGCGTTCGACCACAATGTGAGCCTCTCACCTGCTTCACTCCCACAGGTCGGCCCTACGGCACCGGGGTCACAAGCCGCTGGCGCGCATGCCGCGCGAGTCTGCGCCCTTCTGGGAGATGGTAACAGGCAGTCTAAACGTCATATGCCATGGGTAGAAGGCAGGGAGGGGGCGCAGGCAGCAACCAAAACAGGGAGGAGTGGGCAGAACCTGGATGGGCAGGGTGATAGAGCATACATGTTTTCTGCGCCTAATAGGCGAGCAGGCATGCATGTACCGCTGTAGAATCAACAGGGAAGGGCTGGAAGCCCTGCAACAACACCGCTGAGCCGACCCTCTAGGCCCTCGCTTCGAAACGCAGATTACCGTGAACATCATATAGGCTGGCTTAGGTCGGCAACTCATCTCGAATGGGGAGAGGGTGAAGAACGGCGAATTCTTTTGGGGGGAGAGTTTCAGACCGGTTGGTTACTACTGCCATCTAGCATCCAACTCAAGCAGCCTTGGGGCGCGGAATTGAAAACTCTTCCAGAAAATAGGACTGCGGTGCGCTGCAGTCGCTGTGATCCCCACTCCCTATGCTCTGGTGGAGGAGCAACCAGATCTTGCAGCATAGTGTGTATAGCCTACAGCCTAGGGGCTTCATAATGCAGAGTTGAGTGTCCTGAAATGGTGTGCAATGAACGATGAATCGATGACGGCTGAGCTACAGTCGTTTGCATATCAAACTGCAGTGTCTTGCGCGCGTCGAGCCTGTTTGTTCGTGTTTGCTCCGCCGTCGGGTACCGGCTAGGACTGCCACTTCGGTGGGTGCACCCTCAATGAAAACAGATAAAATCCCCCAAAAATGTCGTAGCGGGTTGATATCACATACAGTATGGCCCCTAGCAATGCTTTGTTGGCTTTCAATGCAGGAGAAGCTTTTTGTACTTGATGGCCACAATGGGTTGACGGAGGCCGGTCCCAAACAGGCAGAGGGACGCTCGCTCACGGCGTTGCAAACACGGGCAAACAGCCCCGCGGCGCGCGCGTCGACTGCAGTTTGATATGCAAACGACTGTAAGCGGCCGTGACCCCCACTGCCGTGACGAAGGGCTGGCGCCTCCGTGCACTGGATCTCAAAATACAGATGCGCAAAATACGGGCGCCTACGAAAATATGCCAATATTTTGAGCGAGGCTGTTCCATCGTGGGATGCCCTCGGTGCGTGTGGCGTCAACATCCAGATGGGTCAGTCCTCAACCCCCTCAACCATCATCTGAATCTGCTGCGCCTCCAGTGGATTCACTCCATTCTACCGAGCTCCGGCGTGATCTGAGACCACCGACGCTCTTGCAGCTCTCTGGCTCGACTCAATTTCGATACTGACTGGGCGTAGAGAGCTCATGGTCGCTTCCCTGGAACTGAAGAATGTGCCGTCGGAGATGAGTCACAGCACCGAGACCTTGACTATCAGAGGTACTGAGTATCTCTTGACCCAACATCTTCCAACTGCTGACACCAGCTATGAATCATTCGCATGACGCCTTTTGTAGAGGAGGAGCCTTTCAAGCATCCTTACCTGGATGCAATCACGGCACAGCCGCTCGAAATACCCAACGTCCACGAGCTTATTGAGGCAACATCCCCGTCTGACAGGAGCCACAGGACTGAGACTCAGCTTCGACAAGGTTTGGGGAGTTTTTAGTCCTTTACCAGTACGTCCAACTGACGCTACGCCGTCCGATAGGTAGGGAGCCCAAGAAGAGCCCTCTACTGAAGGTAGCTGTGGCGGAGCCACTGTCTGTCTCAAGTGTGCACAAACCTCGTGAGGGGACATCTAGTCCCGCTGATTTGGAGCGATCGGGACCACAACGCCTGCTTTCGCGACCAAAGACTCCAAATGACCCGCCCTCTGGTAGAGCGCCCAACCCGCCAAGAAGGCAGACCGCTCGTGACCAGGTATATCCTGTTTGCAGTGCCCCCATTACGTTTCACTGACGCTTGCAAGGTCCCCAAGCGCCTGTTAAACGCCATCACTGGGCAGTTTGATGAGTGCTTTGACCATCAGCGAGTACGCTATGTCATCCTATCCCACGTCTGGGCAACCAGGGAGGCCACGTATCAGGACGTCTTGGAGACACAGAAGGTTTCTGGGCTCAACGTCGTGTCTCGCTTGCCCGACAAGCTTCGCGGCTTGTGCAATGCTGCGCAGAACGCCGGATACGACTTCGTCTGGGCCGATACTTGCTGCATTGACAGAACAAACTCTGACGAAATCTCGGACTCTATAACATCCATGTATTCCTGGTATCGCGAGGCCGATCAGTGCTTCGCGTATCTTCACGACGTTCCCAGCCCCTTAATGTCCTCCGATGACCCATACGCGCTGTTCCGCCAAAGCATTTGGTGGTCCAGAGGATGGACGCTACCCGAACTCCTAGCCCCTAACGAGGTAACCTTTCTGTCCTCTACTTGGCTAGCGATCGGCACGAGAACAGAGCTTGCGACGCTCATCCAGGCCATCACCTCTATCGATAGCAAAGTCCTGATTTCCCCGAGAGTCCCACTGGAGGCGATGAGCGTTGCAACGCGCATGTCATGGGCCGCGTCCAGGAAAACGAGATTCGTAGAGGATGGCGCCTACTGCCTCATGGGCATCTTTGGTGTCATCATGCAGCCGAACTATGGAGAGAGGTACAGCGCCTTCTTCCGCCTTCAGGAGTTGATCCTTGCCAAGGAGCGGCCCGATCCAACCCTCCTTTGCTGGGGCGTCGTAACACATCTGCCCGCTAACAGTCTGCCCTTTGGCGGGTACAACCATACGGCGCACACCGCCGTGACGCGAGCCGAACCTCCACCCCCTAGGCATTCGAAACAATACCTGCTGGCTGCTTCTGCGGAGGAGTTCAGTCGCACCCCGCGAAGCCTAAAGGTTCAAGGCCCTGACTTCTTCGCTGAACGCCTCAAACTCCCCGAGCAGGACATCCAGACGGCGTTTGAGCATGTGCCGGGCGGTATTCGCTGTAGGTTGCCCCTAGTTGACATGTCATGTCCAGTCGGTACGGGCTCTTCGCGCTCGGTATTTACACTCGCTCTACTGGCCTGCGAAGACGCTCGAGGGCGGATGCTTGCTCTTCTGTTACATCCACAGGATTGCCGTGAATCCTCCAGTGACACCACGTGAGTATCACTACGCCCGCTTACTCTACAGACTAGTATTTCTAAGCACTTATTATACCCTCCATACGCAGCGCTGAGAACCTTCGTCATGCCCATCCCGGCTCGTATTTCGTAGGAGCGCCACCGAGACCCTCCAAGCACTGTCCCATCTCCACCAACCCTTACTCCATGTCCGCATACATCAACGCATACACGCGAGCGGTCTGGATCCCTTCCACAGAGCTCAACCATCTTCATGGTTGGATACGTATGTCAGACATCGTCATTGCACACGATCCAGACCACCTCGTACTCGACCTTGAGTACGAGTTACGCCGTCACATCGAGATGAGTGCCCCTCCCGGGCCCTTTGCTGTGTCTTTAGCACCCTGGTCTCGGGACGCCCTGATCGCGCGGGGATATCGCACGTTCCCCACAGCCATAGCTGATATTCTGCTACCTGCATCCACCACAAGCGCCGTGCACCGGGCTACCGCTACATCTCCCGCAATAACCATTCGTAAAGGCACCAACTACATTATTGTCCAGATTGGACGCTGCTATTGCGCACTCGGCGAGCGATATGGTCTGTTGGCAGTGATTGCCAGTGAATCGTCTCAAGGCCGCCAATCCTGGGATCGACCAAGGATGGAACACTCTCTGGACCACCCCTTCAATCACCCACACCATCTTTGTTCGTGGTCCTTCTACGGCAGTAATGCTCGCACTCGATTGAGGCTGGCGTCCGGCATGGTGCTGAACCTGGGTCTGAGCCCTATGTCGCGTCCTCTGAGCCTTATGCCACTTCCTCCCACCGTCGAAAAGACTCAAGGAGTTAGGGAGAAGATCCGAGCCGCCGTGAAGGGTCTACAGCCCAAGATAACCCGAGGAACCCGCCATCAAACAAGAGAGATCGCGAATCTTATTCGATCCAAGCTCTTCCTCCGTTCTCGGAGGGCCACAGAAGTCGAGTCGACCTCTGTGACTGCAGCGATGTGGCCGAGTGAGCTATCCTCCACGAGACTTGTCAGGTCAGCATCTGCCCCTCCTAGACTCGGGGAGAACGCGGTCGGGGCTGGGTATTCCTATGCGTTAAGTGTTGGGATCAGCTAAAGTAATAGTAGTCGTCCGGGATGGAATATCTGAGCGGCGGCGGTGATGAAGGGGGGTCCGCTTCATTTGCGGCAGGTTGGTGTTTGTGATGTGGCGGGGTCAACCTGTCGACACACCCTTTCCAGGCTCCCTGGGTTGGACATATGTCATGTATCTTGCGCGTGTCCTAGTGCCAGAAATGTCGCAAAATTGCACCCTCATGCCATGCTCGCCTCGGCGCGAAAACATTGCGGTGTTGTCATGCTAGAGTGAAAGTCATTTGTCATTAAACTGCACGCTCGATCAAAATCGAACACCTCGTGACATGATTCTATGCAGGTGGTGAAATCAACGTAGGCAAAAGCCCGGTCACACAAAATTCACCTCCAATGAGAAGACTGAAGCCAAGCGGGCACGTTGTACGGCGATAACGCTCCGTATACCGCAAACTAGGGCGGTGGAGTACAATGACGTAAAGTGGAAGAGCGTGAAGTGGGCAAACGGAACGCAAGTCCAGAACAATTACTTCGGGTGAGGTAGCGAGTGATAGGTACTGACGCAATGGAATTGCATATACCAGATGCAACACAGCACCATTAGAGTCCTTTCGCAGGCGATTTGAAACCGGTGGGGTAGTTCAATTTGTCAGCGCTCCCAGTTCAGAATCAGCTGAGGTGGGTCCCTCGCACATCCCTTCGACAGCCAATAATCGTTGTGTAATTGCCCGCTTGACAAGGTATCCACTGCACCACCAATTCAGAGATTGGGCAGATCCAATCCGGTTTTGAATCGGCTACGAAAGGACTCTATTTCGAATTCTGTGTAGCCTTCGACAGTTTGTTTGGGAAGCAAAGTAGAAACACCGTTGCCAACGCTTCGCCCAGATACAGCTGTATGTTCCTCGCACAGAGGGATACAGGCTGGGTGAGCATCCCACAAGAGACACTTAGACAGCAAGACATAGTGAATACTCACGACCTGTGCCTCCCTCTCCGGCCTTGGCTGTCCAATCGCCCGCGATGGGTTCTGCTTTACCGGCGGTCACGGAGGATATCGCCTCGATAAACACCGGGCGGGATTTGCGATCGTTCCGAGACCTTGATGGGGAGGGACTGTCCCAAGCAGCATCGTCGAAGGCTGCATGGTCGGAGCAGCGTCAGTTCGCCGACCACCGGGCCTGAGACGCAGGATGGGAAAGCCATAATCGAACCCACAAAGCGGAGAGAGCCGAGCAGCCGCTACGCCATGTAGGTGATTGGAATTTCAGTACAGTGAGCGAATTTGAGAGGTAAGGGGATGGTACAATCGTGTGCGCCGATGAATGCAGCTGGAGGATATGCTGCCGCGTGTGGTAGGCGGGGAGGATCTCATCGAGGATGATGGGCGTGCAGTAACCGTCGCGCGAGGGGAGCATGAGGCATTGGTCGTAGGGCGACCTACGTGGTGTTTGTGCCCGTGTTTGTGTCTGAGATGACGGAATGCGGAGCTAACAGTGAGGAGTGGCCAGTGCATGTCCGTCAACTCGTCGTAGTGCAGCTTCGTCAAAAGGCAAACGGGTCCCGCCTGCTGCGTGTCGTATATCATCTCAGGGTCCCTCGTTGCAACCACGTACAGGATCCTGTACGGCAACGCACGCAAAGACGGAAGCAGCCGCTATGAGGGTCATTGGTGAAGCCGGGGTGCTAGGCTTCGACCCTGCCGGCGTGGGGGAACGCATCGAGTCTGCTGTAGACAGCGCGGGGGACGACATCATCGCCGCAGTTGGCCCAGCGGATATCGTGATGTGCGGCGAGGGAAGGTTGGGGTCCATCGGAATGCATGGCGATAAGCATTGACCCGAAACGGAGACTAGAGAACCGAACGGTCTGTTACTACCTGAAGTGTCCGGCGGAATCGCAAAAACACCGGGTACCAGCCAGATCGTCAATGAGCGTGTCCAAATACCGAGGGAGGCTAGGAGAAGGCGATGAAAAGGAATCTTCGAGAGCGGCGCAGCGACAACACGAACCCGGGGCATATGGGAAGAGCTCGAGGACGCGAGAAGGCGTGTGAGCGATTATATACACTTATTGCAAGTTCGGCCGCTTGAATTCTTCGATGGACGACGCCTCCACGTTCGTAGTGCTATCGTCTTCCTCCATTCTAATGAAATGACCGGCAGACAGCATCGTACCGTACAGACTCGAAGTCTGAGGGAGAAACCTCTCCCGGCGCCGCCTGGAATGCGTCCATCTACCCAAACTCAGCCTGTGCTGCTTCCAATGAATCGTGACGATGTCGACGTACCTGGGGCTGACTTCATCCGCCCCCTCTTCACCGATCGAGACAATTCCACGAGTTATGTAGCAACTACCAAGACCGCTGAATGCGAGCGTCGAAGCTTGAGTCCTAAACGTACATACAACACGAGATCAACATAGCACGGGGTAGCCACAGGATGAATGTACCCGAACACTTCAGCACCTTCGGAGGTATAGTTAGTCAACCGCCGCACAACACGGCAAGCGACGATCTAAGGAACTCTTCAATTCAAGCTTCTCACGATATGCTGGCACAACTCACATTGGACGCGATTGCTGCGGGAACGTTCGCGATGATCGACATCACTGCGTTCAGATTGACCAACATAAAAGTCTACAAGAGATCAGTGTCAAGATCCCGAAGTCGAAAAGGAGCTGCAATTCACAGTTGCAATCACATAAGCCCCGAAACTGTTAGAAGTAAACATCAGCTGACGGCCAATCATTCATGAAGCAGCGCGAAGACCCACGCAACTACGCAGTAGAACAGCCCGTCGTCGAAGGTAAGCTTCACGATCTTTGACCGGTCACGACGTGAACTGCTCCCCACGCCCAGCTTCACCGCCATCAGAGTAAGAACAGTGAAATTGAAACATATCGTGTAAATGAACGTCGCGGCCAGAATTCTATTACTTGTCTGGGTGATGGCACAGCCTGTTCCAGGGATCCAAGCGGCCTCCACAAGAACACCTTCGTCACCATCGTCAACCGGCTACCATGGCACTGTGCACAGCTTCTTTTGCTAGAAAACTTACCGTGCAGCAACAATGACCAATGTCCCAGTATAACGAGGATGAGAGATGCGACGATGTACCATGCCTGCGACCAAACCGCCATCCTAGAATGGAGAAGTTGTGAGCCCGGCTTACTTCCACCGGCTTGATGTCAGGACTGGGCCTCACGTGCGAAGGGAAGGGGCGATGCTAGCAAGTCCAATAGACGCATTCCCAAAGATCTGAGCAGTCTCAGTGAAGCAGATGCAGATGTGACACGTGAGTCCATGCTCTGTAGGTGTCTCATACCGTCTGTTCTTGCTCCCTTCCTGATACAGGTATGTGCTGAACTGTCTCGTCTCTGATATCTGAGACACAGGTACGTCTCAGAGTCTATCCAGAACCTCTTTTGCAAGGAGGTAACTACGGGTATGTCATGGTGGTCTCGTACTTGCGCATCCCTTCGTACCCTCCCTCCTTCCGCATCGCTATGTCTCCAAGCTATCATCCCTCCCATCCTGTCATGGTTGTGAATAATCTCGCGTGTTGTAGTAGTAGTTGGGTGGTCAGGGATGTAGGAAGCACGCTTGCCGGGGTATTTACACGTCATTGTATAGCATACGTCAACTGTATTTAGTCTGTCGTAGTGTAAATCAATCTACTTTCATGCATTTTCGAGATTGCTGTCGCCCACTATCGCAACAACAAGCTGTTAATGGTAAGAATACACGAGCTATGGCGTATCTACATTGATCTACAGAGCTGTGGGCGGGCGCTATGTAGGCCATGTACCCCCGAGGTATGCTACGCGACTATAACAGCTATGGCGTCTACTTAGGGCGATGTAGCACACTGATTTTTTCCTGATGTTGGAGAGCGGAACGTCCGGGAAGTACGTTCGTACCAAGTCCTCGCCGTCGATTTCGCAACGTTGTTACTCCGAAATTCAGCTTGGTGCAAGGCTTCCAGAACTTGAGTAGACTTACCTCGCCGCGAAGCCTGGACGGCGCCGAGTTCGACGCAGCAGTGAGAACGTCCTTTGGGCTCCAGCTGAACTTGTACCCAAGCGGAACGTCCGTGTCCTCTGGTGCAGGCAAGCCACCACAGAACGACGTGAACGACACGATCTCCTTGCCTTGCTCTCGCGACGGTTCAATCAAAGACATCGCGGAACAGTGGTCGATGTCAGGATCCAGTCCGATTTTGTTCATCAGAAGAACATCTGCAGTGACGGCACTGATTGGTCTCGATCAAGACACAGCGCGTTCTCAGCGACAAGGACGGATGCACAGCTCGGCAGAGGGGTGGAACGGTACCAGCAACGGGCAATTGTACGTTCACTCTCAACACCCCGTTCTGAGCGCTGCATGCGAAGGGGCAATGCCTGATGACAACGTCTGGCGCCGCGACCAATCTCTTCACCGCCTCCAAGTTCCCCATATCCACGGGTGTCGCGTTCGCGTACGGCAGAATCAGCCGCTCGGTATCCGCCAGAACATTGCTCGCTATACGCACTATAAGGTCAACTCGCGCGAAACCCGCCAAACAAGTCTACAACTACTTACCAACAAACAGCTGCACGTCCGACCGGCCGCAAAGCCCCTGCATGGCCACCATCGTGACCGACGGCAGATGCGCGTCGCGTATTGCGACAGGAACTCCAAGCCGCCCTAACGAGCCCCCACTGTGAGCGAGGGGGACGTACAATAAGACGGGCGAACAAGACGTACGTTGACATCACAGCTGATGTCCCCTACGCAGGCGAACCGGCCCTCACCCAACGTCCGCGCGATCTCGAGCGCCGTCGTCGGCTGCTCGTTCGTCATCACGCGGGGGTACGCCGGAGCACACCGTGCGCCATGCAGGAGGAGGGAAAGGTACGGAGCGACCTTCGCGTAGAACTCGGATACATATTGGTCTGGGTGGGCGTAGTAGTCCGGGTGGTCGAACGCGCGGCCGTCCTTCCGCAAGAAGTAGCCTTTGGAAGTAGCCTTTGGAAAGCG